ACACTATTTGAGGAGAAAAAAAGGCCCAGCACACCAACATCAAAACCTCATCCCCACTGTGAAACATGGCGGAGGGAGCATCATGGTTTGGGGCTGCTTTGCTGCCTCAGGGCCTGGACGGGTTGTTGTCATTGATGGGAAAATGAATTCCAGAGTTTATCAAGACATTTTGCAGGAAAACGTACGACCATCTGTCCACCAACTGAAGCTCCGCAGAGGATGGGTGATGCAACAGGACAATGACCCAAAGCATACAAGTCATTCAACAAAACAATGGCTGCAACAGCACAGAATACGCCTTCTGGAGTGGCCCAGTCAGAGTCCTGACCTCAACCCGATTGAAATGCTGTGGCATGACCTTAAGAGAGCGATTCACACCAGACATCCCAAGAATATTTCTACACTGAAACAATTTTGTGAAGAGGAGTGGTGCAAAATGACTCCAGATCGTTGTGCAGGTCTGATCTGCAACTACAGGAAACGTCTGGTTGAGTTATTCCTGCCAAAGGAGGGTCAATCAGTTATTAAATCAAAGGTTCACATACTTTTTCCTCCCTGCACTGTGAATGTTTACATGTTATGTGCAATTAAACCATGGCAACATCTAATGTTTGTGTAGTATTATGTTCAGCAGACTGTGTTCTTCTATTGTTGTGACTTAGATGACGTTCAGAGCACATTTTATGCCCAATTCATGCAAAACTCCACGTAATCCCAAGGGGTTCACATACTTTTTCTTGCAACTGTATATACACTATATTGTACATTACACTCTCCTGCACTATGAACACTATATTGTACATTACACTCTCCTGCACTATGAACACTATATTGTACATTACACTCTCCTGCACTATGAACACTATATTGTACATTACACTCTCCTGCACTATACACACTATATTGTACATTACACTCTCCTGCACTATACACACTATATTGTACATTACACTCTCCTGCACTATATACACTATATTGTACATTACACTCTCCTGCACTATATACACTATATTGTACATTACACTCTCCTGCACTATACACACTATATTGTACATTACACTCTCCTGCACTATGAACACTATATTGTACATTACACTCTCCTGCACTATACACACTATATTGTACATTACACTCTCCTGCACTATATACGCTATATTGTACATTACACTCTCCTGCACTATATACACTATATTGTACATTACACTCTCCTGCACTATATACACTATATAGTACATTACACTCTCCTGCACTATATACACTATATTGTACATTACACTCTCCTGCACTATATACACTATATTGTACATTACACTCTCCTGCACTATGAACACTATATTGTACATTACACTCTCCTGCACTATGAACACTATATTGTACATTACACTCTCCTGCACTATACACTATATTGTACATTACACTCTCCTGCACTATGAACACTATATTGTATGTCACAGACTCCTGCACTATATTGTACATTACATACCACTTACCAATTGTCGTTGTCTCAACATTTGCTGGTTGTTAAGCAACCCATGGTTTTTTAATGAAGTTCGTCTGTAAGGTAGACCCAGGATGACCCTTAGTGACCCCAGAGCACCCTGTGATCCTCAGTGAACAAGGTGCTTTGGGGTCACTAAGGGTCACAGGGTGCTCTGGGGTCATTGAGGGTTTCAAGGTGGTCTGGAGTCACTGAGGGTCTCACGGTGCTCTGGGGTCATTGAGTGTATCAGAGTGCTTTAGGGTAACTGAGAGTATCAGGGTACTCTGGGGTCACTGGGCATCTCAGAGTGCTTTGGGGTAACTAAGGATCACAGGGTGCTTAGGGGTCACTGAGGGTCTCAGGGTGCTGTAGGGTCATTGAGGGTCTCAGGGTACTCTGGGGTCACTGATGGTCACAGGGTGCTCTGGGGTAACAAAAAGTCACAGGGTGCTCTGGGGTAACTGAGGATCACAGGGTGCTCTGGGTCACTAAGGGTCAGAAGGTGCTCTGGGGTCATTAAGGGTCTTAAGGTATTCTGGGGTCATTGAGGGTATCAAGGTGCTCTGGGGTCATCAAGTGTTTCAGGGTGCTCTGGGGTCATTAAAGGTCTCAGGGTGATCTGAGGTAACTGAGGATCACAGGATGTTCTTGGGTCACTAAGGGTCTCCGGGGGCTCTGGGGCAACTGAGGATATCAGGGTGCTCTGGGGTTATTGAGGGTCTCAGAGTGCTTTTGGATAACTGGGAATGTCAGAGTTCTCTGGGGTCACTGAGGGTCTCAGGGTGTTCAGGGGTCATTAAGGGTTCCAGGGTGTTCTGAGGTAACTGAGAGAGTCTGAGTGTTCTGGGGTAACTGTCAGGGATCCCCTCGATCCCCGCTGCGATGGTCCCAGCGCAGGCGCAGTGCACCGCCCTGTGCAGGGACACGGGCACTAGGTCTGGGCTGGCCGCGGCGTTCGAGTTCGCGCATGCGCAGTAGAAGCTGCGGCCGCCCGCTGGGCACCAATGGCAGCGCAGGGCGGGATATTTAAATGTCCCTGAGCTGTCATTCAGTGCCTTCTGGTCTTACCTGTATCCTGTGATTCTGAACCTGTGCCTAGTAAGTTATTTGACCCGGATTGCTCTTGACCTGCTGATTTCTCCTGCCCAGACCCTTGCTTTGCCTGACCTCTCTTCTGAATGCCCCTCACTAGATCTGACCTGCTGTTGCTGACCTGGCATGTGACCCGACGATTCTCTGTCCGCTCCCTTGTACCTTACCGTCCTCTACGTTACCAACTCGGCCCGTCTGACTTCGCACTTGCTCAGCCATCCATCCCATCGGCGACCTGGTCCCGGGGTACTCCAAGTCCATCCCCACCATCAGGGGCTCTGGTGAACAAGTACCCTGGGGCTTAGACTCCGCGCTCTGGGCCTGACCAGTGGAGTGCTAGTGGTGCCGCTCGGCGGTCCCTCACAGTAACTGAGGATCACAGGCTGTTCTGGGGTCATAGAGGGTTTCAGGGTGCTCTGGGGTAACTGAGGATCACAGGGTGCTCTGGGGTTATTGAGGGTCTCAGGGTGCTTTTGGGCAACTGGGAATGTCAGAGTACTCTGGGGTCACTGAGGGTCTCAGGGTGCTCTGGGGTCATTAAGGGTCCCAGTGTGCTCTGAAGTTACTGAAAGTCTGAGGTAACTGAAGATCACAGGGTGCTCTGGGGTCGCAGAGGATCCCAGGATGTTCTGGGGTCACAGAGGGTCTCAGGGTGCTCTGGGGTAACTGAGGATCACAGAATGTTCTGAGGTCACTGAGGGTTTCAGGGTGCTCTAGGGTCATTGAGGGTCTCAGTGTGCTCTGGGTTCAGAGGGTGCTTTGAGGTAACTGAGAGTCACAGGGTGCTCTGGGATCACAGGGTGCTCTGGGGCCATTGAGGGTCTCAGGGTGCTCTGGGGTCATTGAAGGCCTCAGGGTGCTCTGTGGTAAGTGAGGATCACAGGAGGTTCTTTAGTCACAGGATGTTCTGGGGTCACTGAGGATCACAGGATGTTCTGTGGTCATTGAAGGTCTCAGGGTGCTCTGTGGTAAGTGAGGATCACAAGATGTTCTGGGGTCACTGAGGGTCTCAGGGTGCTCTGTGGTAAGTGAGGATCACAGGATGTTCTGGGGTCACTAAGGGTCACAGGATGTTCTGGGGTCACTGAGGGTCTCAGGGTGCTCTGTGGTAAGTGAAGATCACAGGATGTTCTGGGGTCACTGAGAGTCACAGGGTGCTTTGGGGTCACTGAGGGTCTCAAGTGCTCTGGAATCCCAGAGACGTAAACCTGGAGCCATGCAATTTAATCCTGCACCAATCAGGAGAGCGGCTTCCTCATTGGCCCTTCCCCGGAGAGGAGACCCCGCTCTCTCTCGGAGAGGAGATGAGTGTGACATTTGGAATCTCCTCCATCCTAGTCCCAGGGTTCCAGAAGACTATCACATTGTTTCTGCTGCTGAGCAAGAGCTGCTCCAATGCCTTCCCAGGACCCCACAGACAAAGTGCCTGAGCTGGTCGGGGGCTCCTGCAGCAGTCAGAGATAGCATGAAAACCTGCTACTCTACAGTAGGTGGCCCCTTTATTTTTTCGCTCTCACGAAAAGCCGTCTCCTGAGTGCGCACAACTGCATGATATAGCTCAGCCCCTTGGACATTCATATTCCTCTATGGGACTCTAACAGCAAGTCAGAGAGAGCTCCGCCTCATTTCCTGGCTGGAGGACGCCTGGCATCATCTGACTTTCCTCCCCAGCCTGGCTGTCCCTGGACCACCCTTTTCCATCATTGGAGTTCAGTCCTGGAGGCTTGGCAACACATGTGGACATAACCTAGGGACTCCTCCAGACTCACCACCACCCGTCAAGTCATATTGATAGTTGCAAAATGCCTCCCACTGCTTGCATTAGGACTGAGGACTCTTGAGAGGAGTACTGGGGCAGGGGGCTGTGATTTGCCTGCATGGCATAGAGAAGCACAGAGACCAAGTGATGATATCATCGGGTATAAAATATAGTATCTTATAAAATCTTATAAAAAAAAAAGTGACAGCAGAGAATGAGGCACAGCACAGGGTCCGGAACCGGCACTGATGGGTCACATGAATCTTTATTGGTCATGTTTCGGGTTTTCATTACATCCCCCACCCTTCCACCCCCCATTGGGAGGTCCCATCATGGTCTCTTTTTTTCCTGGTTCATTTTTGCTTTGACATGGTAGTTGAAATTTCAAATGTCCGGCACATGTTCCTGGCAGTTAGAATGGAAACAGCGAGCCTTCCCCAGGAATCGGGGCAGTACTGGATAACATGGTAATGGTGCTTGGCGGAGTTCTCCTTTAACACACAGCATTTCTGGATCACATGCTGCAATGTGATGAGTGAGTCTGACGCTTGGGGGGGGGGGGGGGGAGGTGGGGGTAGTCACACGGTATAATAGGTGTGTATGGACTTCCTGCAGGCGGTGACATTGCATGGCGATGGCGGTAAAGCACAGCATCGGTGAATTGGCGGCTCAGGGACACTTCCGCTCCACGCACTGCTTTCCTCCCTCCTCGTATTCCTGCTTGGAGATCCACATCTGCTGGAAGGTGCCCTGCGGAGAGACACAGCACTGATGGACACATTCCGAGACGGGAAGGAGGGACCGACAACAGACAAGGTCAAAAATACTTCTAATATATTTATATGTAAGTGTAGACCACTGTATATGTATCACATTGCACATTCTCATTTCTAGCCAGCAGGTGGCACTCAAGGCTCCTTTTTGCATGCTTCCAAGCTCTCCTTTGCTGCACTGTTGTTTACAGAACCCAATTATTGCACACCTCTATGGTCTGCTTCTGTACTTCCTGACTATTTTGCACCTTAGGCAAGACCAGGTACTTGCGTCCCCCCCCTGCCCCCCCCAAAAAAAACAAATGAAAAATGTAAAAACAGTAGAAAGTATTAAATCAACAAAACATGAAACCGCTAAATTTCTTTTCATTTGTAAAAATAAGTGCCATGAGATGCCACCAGCACCGATATTAAAGACAAAACCAGTGGTGTCCCAGACGGAGTGTATCTGTGGCTAGCTGTGGCAGGAGGATGGATCCACACTCTGACAGATCCCAGGCAATGGGGGGAGGTAAAACGCTGTGACCTCAGGCAGCTGAACTGAACAATCCCACACAGTGACAGACCCGTCACAACACACCACCACCAACACTGACACAGAACAGCAGGCACTAGAAGAGCAGGCTGTGGGATGGTGATGATGTCATCACTCACTGACACATTGCACATGTGATGGATGGTCGGCCAGTCACACTCACACAGACAGGAGACATCAGAGTCAGACATTACCTTCCTCCGCAGGCACAGCTTCACCTCCACTGATGAATAGGAAAAGAAGGGCTGGAATTCCACAGTGATCAGCAGTCACCAGCTGGCTTGCAGAAAAGGACTGAGTCTAAGAGGAACACTAGAAGGAGCAGCAGCTCAGCTGCTACACTGGCTCCAGACACCTGTCCTCTTCCTCTGTCCTTTCTTCTTCCCCTCTGCCACCCCTCCTCTCAGCTGAAGGATCATTCATGGAGGTGACGGCATCCCAATCAGAGAAAGTGCTGGCCTGTGCTGTGCCCAGGCACCCCTAGGTGGCAGTGCGCCCTAGGCGGCTGTCTAGTTTGCCTAGTGGAAGCAGCGGCCCTGGTCCTGGTCCATCCTGTCCACATACAGCAAGGTGCCCATAAGCATGTACAGTATGTGGTGCTTTGAGGTATATGAGCGCTGACACTCATGTATTGCTGTGAACCCCTGATGCTGGGTGTACGTTGGGTGCCTCAACCTCTGCCTGAACACAGACTACTCTTGAATGCCTTGACCTCTGTCTGGACCTGGGCTACTCTTGAATGCCTTGACCTCTGTCTGGACCTGGGCTACTCTTGAATGCCTTGACCTCTGTCTGGACCTGGGCTACTCTTGAATGCCTTGACCTCTGTCTGGACAGTGAGTACTCATGCCTAATGCCTGATTCAACCTCTACCTGGACCCTGACTACTCTTGCCTGCTTCATTCTGTGCCTGGACGCTGACTACTCTTGCCTACCACCTGTTTTGACCTCTGTTTGGACACGGACTACTCTTGCCCACAATCTGCCTCAACCTCTGCTTATCCACTGACTTCTCTTGCCTGCCACATGCCTCGACCTCTGTCTGAATACTGACTACTCATGTCTGCCACCCACCTCAACCTCTACCCAAGCACTGACTAGTCTTGTCTGCTACCTGTCTTAATCCCTGACTGTACTCTGAATACTCTTGCCTGATGCTCACCTTCTGCCTGGATACTGACTACACTTGCCTGTCTGGACCTTTATCTGGACACTAATTACTGTTGTCTGCTGTCTGCATCAACATCTGCCTGAATACTGAAAACTCTTGCCTGCTGCCTGCCTTGACCACCACCTTGATTCTGACTGCTCTTGCCTGCCACCTGCCGTCTGCTACCTTGATTCTGACTGCTCTTGCCTGCCACCTGCCGTCTGCTACCTTGATTCTGACTGCTCTTGCCTACCACCCGCTTGGACACTGACTACTCTTGCCTGCTCCCTGTTTCAATATCTGCCTTGAACCTGAGTACTCTTGCCTGCTGCCTGCCTCCACCTTTGCCTGGACACTGACTACTCTTGCCTGCTACCTGACTCAACCTGTGCCTGGACATGGACTACTCTTGCCTGCCGCCCACCCCAACTTCTGTCTGGACACTGACTACGCTTGCCTGCCACTTTCCTCCACCTCTGCATGGATGCTGACTATTCTTCCTGCTGCCTGCCTCAACTTTGCCTGGACACTGACTACTCCCACCTGCTACTTGACTAAGAATGTGCCTGGACATTGACTGCTGTTGCTTACCGTCTGCTTTGACCTCTGCCCGGGCCTGACTTCTTTTGCCTGACACCTGCCTCAATCTCTGCCTGGAAACTGACTGTTCTTGTTTGCAATCCACCCCAACCTCTGCCTGGACACTGATTACTCTTGCCTGCTGCCTGCTTCAACCTTTGCTGAGACACTGACCACTCTTACTGATGGCTGTCTAGACCTTTGCCTGGACACTGACTCCTCTTACCTACCACCTGCCTTGACCTCTGTCTGGACACTGCATACTCTTGTCTGCCACCTGCTTTGACCTAAACCTGAACCTCAGCCAGGTACTCACCGGCCACTTTATTAAGTCCACCTTCTAGTGCCAAGAAAATCTCCCCCACACCATGACACCACCACCACCAGCCTGAACCATTGATACAAGGCAGGATGGATCCCCCACACCATGACACCACCACCACCAGCCTGAACCATTGATACAAGGCAGGATGGATCCCCCCCACACCATGACACCACCACCACCAGCCTGAACCATTGATACAAGGCAGGATGGATCCCCCACACCATGACACCACCACCACCACCAGCCTGAACCATTGATACAAGGCAGGATGGATCCCCCCCACACCATGACACCACCACCACCAGCCTGAACCATTGATACAAGGCAGGATGGATCCCCCACACCATGACACCACCACCACCAGACTGAACCATTGATTCAAGGCAGGATGGATCCACCACACCATAACACCACCACCAGCCTGAACCGTTGATACAAGGCAGGATGGATCCCCCACACCATGACACCACCAGCCTGAACCGTTGATACAAGGCAGGATGGATCCATGCTTTCATGTTGTTTATGACAAATTCTGACCCTACCATCTGCCCATTCTCCTCTGACATCAACAAGGCATTTTCCTCCACACAACTGCCACTCACTGGATATTTTCTTTTTTTTTGGACCATTCTCGGTAAACCCTAGAGATGGTTGTGCGTGAAAACCCCAACAGATCAGCAATTTTTTGAATACTCACACTAGCCCGTCTGGCACCAGCAACCATGCCACGTTCAAAGTCACTTAAATCCCCTTTTTCCCCGTTCTTATCTTCACCACGTTTAGATGCCTAAATGCATTGAGTTGCTGCCATGTGATTGACTGATTAGCAATTTGTGCTACCAAGCAATTGAACAGGTGGACCTAATAAAGTGGTTGATGGGAAGTGTAGTTTCCTGAGAGGAGAGGATATAATGTAATCTTGGCTCTTACACCTCCTCTTTGGCAGAGCAGATGCTGAATTACAGAGATGACTTCCTGAAAATTCAGTTGGACCTTTCTCTTCAATGGTAAGGAATTCCACAAATGTATTAAGTGTTCAGTGTTTGGTGTCGGGGAGTGTACTAATGGGCAATTATTTTTGTCTATCCTGGAGTTCTTGAAAGCTGAACTCCAGGCAGATATAAAAGACAAAAATTAATTCAGTTCTATAATCACTAATAGATCATTAAAATGTCTGACTTCTGAATGGGATGCCCCCACCATGACCAAGAAGGGTTTATAAATAGATTTGCATACCAGAGAGGCGAGTATGGAGCCTCCGATCCAAGAGCTGAAGCGGCGTTCAATGGAGCTGTTGCTGGCGATGAGCTTGAGGCGCATGCTCTGCGGGACAGACAACAATTGGAGGAGATATCCCACTAACGTATGAACTATATACACAACACATTCATTTAATCCTCTTCACTTCTCGATTGATCACTTCTTGGATTAATCCTTACACGCCTGAACTATATGTCAATTCAGTTCTCCTGCTAAGGTTTCATGAAGCTACTACTGCCAAAGGCAAAGCAAGCTGACCTGTATATACAATCATTTCATCCTGACCTATACACATGTCCATTATTACCTCTTGTATTTCCCAATTAATCCCAGCATTGAGGTGAGAGCTCTCCCCTTCACCCCACCACACCTAATCTGTCCGAATAAGAAGACTTCATCCATAAATTCATTAGAACAATATTGTTACAATGTATTTCCCTGCAGTGCTGGTGGGAGGTCAGTTCCTAATTAATCCAAACTTTTTTACTCTAGCTGTTCAGAAATCTCTTTCTTTCTTTCTTTCTTTCTTTCTTGCTTTCTTTTCTCTCTCTCTCTCTCTCTCTCTCTCTCTCTCTCTCTCTCTCTCTCTCTCTTTTCTTTCTCTCTCTCTTTTTTTCTTTCTCTCTCTCTCTCTCTCTCTCTTCTCTCTCTCTCTCTCTCTCTCTCTCTCTCTCTCTCTCTCTTTCTCTCTCTCTCTCTCTTTTTCTTTCTTTCTTTCTTTCTTTCTTTCTTTCTTTCTCTCTCTCTTTTTTTTCTCTCTTTCTTTCTTTCTTTCTTTCTTTCTTTCTTTCTCTCTTTTTTCTTTCTTTCTTTCTCTCTCTCTCTTTTTCTTTCTTTCTTTCTGTCTCCTGGTCCGATTGACAGAGCAAAGTGAGCCCCAGGACAGAGGAAGGTCCATACACTGAGGTAATTCACCTGGATCAGGGCTGTTCTGAGGGCGCAGTAGGGAGAGATGGACTACAGAGGGAGGAGGACTGACATAGTAGGGAGATGAGACTGTAGAAGTACAACATGGGATGGAAGAGGAGGAGGACATGGGATGCGGGAGATAAGACTAGAAAAGAAGGACATGGGATGGAGGAGATGAGACTGGAGGAGGAGGAGATGGGATGGGGGAGATGAGAGTGAAAGAAGAGGACATTGAATGGAAGAGATGGGACTGAAGGAGAAGGACATGGGATGGGGCAGATGAGACTGAAGGAGAAGGACATGGGATGGGGCAGATGAGACTGGAGGAGGATGACATGAGATGGAGGAGGACATAGGATGGGGGAGATGACACTGGAAGAGGAGGACATGGGATTGAAGAGATTAAACTGGAGGAGGATGACATGGGATGGAGGAGAACCTGGGATGGGGGAGGTAAGACTGGAAGAAGAGGACTTGGGATGGAGGAGATGGGACTGGAGGAGGAGGAGGACATGGGATGAGGGAGATGAGACTGGAAGAGGAGGACATTGGATGGAGGAGATGGGACTGAAGGAGGAGGACATGGAATGGGGGAGATGAGACTGAAGGAGGAGGACATGGGATGGAGGAGATGAGACTGGAGGAGGAGGAGGACATGGGAAGGAGGAGATGGGACTGGAGGAGGAGGAGGACATCGGATGGAGGAGATGAGACTGGAAGACGAGGATATTGGATGGAGGAGATGGGACTGAAGGAGGAGGACATGCGATGGGGAGACGAGACTGGAGGAGATGGAGGAAATGGGATGGGGGAGATAAGACTGGAAGTGGAGGACTTGGGATGGAGGAGATGGGACTGGAGGAGGACATGGGATGGAGGAGATGGGACTGGAAGAGGAGGACATGGGATGAAGGAGATGGGAATGGCAGAGGAGGACATGGGATAAAGGAGATGGGACTGGAGGAGGAGGACATGAGCTGGGGGAGATGAGACTGGAGGAGGAGGAGGAGGAAATGGGATGGGGAAGGTGAGACTGGAAGAGGAGGACATGCGATGGAGGAGGTGGGACTGGAGGAAGGGGACAGGGACATGGGATGGGGGGGAGATGAGACTAGAGGAGGACGTGGAATGGGGGAGATGAGACTGGAGGCGGAGGATGTGGGATGGGGGAGATGAGACTGGAAGAGGAAGACATGGTATGGAAGAGATGGGACTGGAGGAGGAGGACAAGGGTTGGAGGAGATGAGACTGGAAGAGGAGGGCAAGGGAAGGGGGAGAAGAAGGACATGGGATGGAGAAGGACATGGTGTGGGACTTGGTGGGATGGCCAGCGGGTGGGTTCTGGGGAATGTTGATGGTCACGCTCGGAGGGGCCCAGGCCTAAAGCTGTGTAAAATTTCTGATGGCTGCCCTGGCTGGGGTCCACAGTCCTGCTGCCTGGTCCATTCTTCTGCAGAGTAGAGCAGAATGAACCTGGGGGAGTTGCATCCTGGAGTCTTTTAATATTTAGTATAACCCAATAAACTGTCATATCTATCCACCATCATCAAACTGTGCGTGAAGATATTGGATTTTCTGGAAAAAAGGAATGGCGGTCTCCAGCCTCTTACCGGTGGCGTTTTCTGTGACAGTTCGCGGTTCAGCCTGTCGTTAAAGCCTTGGAGGAGTGTGTTACCTCCGGTGACAATGACACTGCCGTACAGACCCTGCCAACACAGACATTCACATTACATATAATACATTGATCATGTGTCTGGGGTTTTATCAATGTCTATGTCCCTATTGGGGAGATTTACCTTCACTTCTTGCCCCGGTGACCCAAGTTTAGAGTTCTTGGTTCATGGGGGGTGAGTTAATAGTACTGATTGAAAATGAGATCTGGATAACCAACTTTTACTTCTTAGGGGAAACTAACATTGCGAGACAATTGATCAATTGATGGGTATAAATACTCCCACCCTGCTCCAACTCTTCACCTCTATGATTAAGCCCCAAGCTGGGGTGAAACGCGTCAGTGGTGACAGAGTATGGGTCTGATGGAGGGAAATGTGCTTGGACTTGTTGTGAACTCATTCATGGTACAATAAAGTTTTTTTTAATGGAATAGAAAAATACTGGCGGAGACATGGACATTTGGCATTTGCCTCAGGCCCACCAGGAGCTTCATAAGTGGTGACCCTTGGATTATGAAGCTGTGGAAGACTCCATATCTCAGTTCCCTGGCCAACCCAGTGACCCCCTTCCTGAGAACAGTCCTGGGGTGGGGGAGCAGAGGACCCAGATGTGGGGTTTCCAAAAAATCCTGTAAACCTGCCACAAGAGGGCACCCCATGCATCCAGGCAGATGGCACATGACTAAGGTCAAGCCCCCCATTATATGTTCTCACCGGTCTTATATCGATGTCACACATCCCGATACTGCTGGTCACTACGTGTCCCACCCCCAGCATGGTGTTACCAGAGAGACCCTGAAAAGAGAAGAAAATTTACAAAGTGCCCCTTACAGGATATCATTTCTATTTAGTATACTGCCTGCTGTGATGTGCTGGATTTTGGACCCGTTTTAGGTGCGTTTGGTATGCAGGGAACTCATTAGATATCATCATTTTATCAGTGTATACATTTAACAGGACAGAAAAGCCAGTACTCCCAATACTGGGGGGGGGTATTGGTACTCCCATTACTGGGAGGGGTATTGGTACTCCCATTACTGGGAGGGGTAATAGTACTCCCATTCCTGGGAGGAGTATTAGTAGTTCCATTACTGGGTGGGGTATTAGTACTCCAAATTCAGGGAAGGGTATTGGTACTCCCATGCCTGTGAAGGGTATTAGTACTCCCATTACTGGGAGGTTTATTAGTACCCCCATTACTGGGAGGGATATTAGTATTTCCATTAATGGGAAGGGTATTAGTACTCCCATTACTGGGAGGTTTATTAGTACCCCCATTACTGGGAGGGATATTAGTATTTCCATTAATGGGAAGGGTATTAGTACTCTCATTGCTGGGAGAAGTATTAGTGCTCCCATTGCCAGTGGGATATTAATACTCCCATTGCTAGTATTACTAGTCCCATAGCTGGCTGAGGTACTGCTAGTCCCATAACTGGGAGGGGTATTAGTGTTCCCAATGCTGGGAGGCATATTAGTAGTGCTGGGAGGGATAGTAGTGTTCCAATTACTGGGAGGAATATTAGTACCCCCATTACTGGTAGGGGTATTAGTGCTTCCATTAATGGGAGGGGAGCTGGTAAGCTCATTGCTGGGAGGGGTATTAGTACCTCCATTAGTGGGAGGGGTATTAGTGATTAATTTACTGGAAGGGTTATTAGTACCCCCATTACTGGTAGGGGTATTAGTACTTCCATTAATGGGAGGGGTGTTGGCACTCTCATTACTGGTAGGGGTATTAGTACTCCCATTAGTGGGAGGGGTATTAGTACTTCCATTCCAGGGAGGTTTAGTACTCCCATTGCTTGGAGGGGTATTACTATTTTCCTAGCTAGGAGGGGTATTGCTAGTCCCATAGCTGGGAGGGGTATTAGTACTCCCATTGCTGCTATAGCCTTCCATCCTGGGGAGGTGGGTGTGGTCCTACAGGTACAGATGGATTGCTATGTGTCACCTTCACATTGGACGGGTCGAAGAGCCCCTCGGGTATACGCAGTCTCTCCGCACCATAGTCTGTGTTGTAGCCATTGGGCATCTCATAATGGACGGTGGGCATCTGAGCGGCCACCCTGCACAGAGGGGAAAATATCAGTCCATGCTCTGCGACATTAAATCACACTTTTATATCTCTGTTATTATTGTTATATATTTATACACACAGTGCTTGTTCATCAGCCAATAGAGTTCAGGGGCGGACTGACAACTAACTCATGGGGCCCCCAGGTAATAGGGGATCATGGGGCCCCTGTGTCCTCACCCTCACTCAAACCACACTCAAAAACCCTATGAAAGGTACCAGGGGCATCTCATGGGGGCCCCCTACTGACCCTGATGATTTCCAAATGGTCAGTCCGCCCCTGATGGGGTTTCATCTAAATATAACTATATACTGTATATATATATATATATATATATATGTATTTTTTTTATGAAAACATATTATTATTATTATTATACAGGATTTATATGGCGCCAACAGTTTACACAGCACTTTACAAAATAAAGGGTTCCAGTTCAGTTACAATGCCATTCAATACAAGAGGATGAGGAGAGCCCTGACCATGAGAGCTTACAATCTATACTGTCTGTCATGGAGGCCGTTTCATGCTGGCACTTACTGTTCATCATACGGAGAGTCTGACACTTGTAGGACGGAGGCCTGGAAATCCTGGATGACCTCCTGGTGGAGATGGAGGGACAGTTACATATGATATACAGTATACGATATATTCATTCCTAGACCAGAAACTGGCTTCATGTGTGACAAATGGTACATCTACAGGGGTTGGACAAAAAAAATAGAAACACTCCCATGATTTGCAGGCGTGAAAGTGACGATGTGTTTGGCGTTGGAAGTGCTGTAACATTCTTTTGCTTCCGCTGTGTGATGAGACACCTAGCTAACAGGTGGGAAGCCCCACTTTCCTCATTCGCTGCGTGCGCTGCTAGTCATACCAAGTCATGTCCGAGCGTACAGAAGGTCAAATTGTTGGTGTCACTTAGCTGGTTCCTCTGCTACTGAAAGTTTCGATACATTGCCGCATCGCGAGGTACAGTATCAAAGGTTATGACGGCATCAACAGTTTCCAGGAAAATGGCGTATGATAATCATAAGCGCGGTCCACATGGTCAACTGACCGAAAAAAGACAAACGGACATTGCACAGGATTGTGACCCGTAAGTAGACAACTGCTGAAAAAGTGACTGCAGAGCTCAATCTCAGTCTTCATAAGCCCATGCCCACAAAACATGGGCTCAGCAGAGAAGACTCCAAGGGCGAGCTGCATTTGCCAAACCATCAGTGATCGATATTAATGCTGAGAAGAGGAGAGAGTGGTGCAACACCCATAAATCGATCAATGGAAGACTGTAATGTGGTCCGATTAATCGAGTTTCACACTGTTCCCAACCACCGGACGTGTTTACGTGAGCCAAACACCACTCCAAGATCATGACCAGGACTGGCCAACGGTAAAGCATGGTTGTGGCACAATCATGGTCTGGGCAGCTATATCTTGGTATTTTGCAGGCCCCATCATCACCTTGAAAGGTAGAGTCACTGCCAGTGACTATGTATAAATTTTGTCCGACAATGTGCTCCCAATGGTACAGACATTTCCTGGAGACAGCGCCATTTACCAAGACGATAATGCTCCAATGCACACAGCTGGTGTTGTCAAATTGTAGTTTGACGAGCATGCAGGCGAAGTCTTACACCTTCCCTGAGCGTCACATTCACCGGACCTCAATATCATAGAGCCACTATGGTCAATTTTGTAGGACAAGGTTCAATGGTGGAGAAAGATCCGGGGGGGGTCAATGGTGGAGAAGGATCTGGGGGAAACACCACCAGGAACATCGGTCGACTTTACTATGAAGAGCCTCATGCTTTGACTTCTTGTAAGTGGATTTGTAGCTTTGTATGTGAATAAAATTGCCAATACTACAGTTAGAGGCGCCTTCTTTCCATGATTTTCCATAATTTTGTCCAACCCCTATATGACGCTATAAATTAGGCACAGTACTTTTCTTTACAGAAAGTTTCACTAGCCATGGAATTTACAAATTATAAGACGCCCTAAAAGTTAAATTACCCACCCAAAAAAATAATGTTTATCCTGAAAAATGCACGTATTCCTGACTCCGCCTCCTGAATCAAAGTGATCCAATTTCTGGCCCAAACAAACCAAAGAGTCAGGTTCACATGAATTCCACCCCCTTTACTATCTCACCCCTCTAGATTGAGTAAAAGAAGACCTGATGAAGCTCAAAGCCAACACTTTAGAGCTTACACAGGGCTAAGAGCTCTCCCCCTACCCCCAAGTGATGGCATTGAGCCAATCATAGAGCACCAGCATTGACACCTTGGAAAAAGGGAATCAAGTCTCATATTCCTCCATATCCAGGTATTTTCTTCATGATTGGTGACTGAATGGAACAGCAGAGAAGCAACGCAAAAGTGAGTATTTGCTGCTGCAGAGGGGTACATTGTATTAACCTGAAGCTTTACCCTGCTTGGGAAGAGCACAGGGTCACTTTGAGCTAACCAAACTGAAGATGTGAACGATCTCTTAGACCCAGGGGTGTCAAACTGATCGCCCTCCAGCTGTTGTGAAACTAGAAGTCCCATCATGCCTCTGCCTTTGGGAGTCATGCTTGTAACTGTCAATCTTGCAATGCCTCATGGGACTTGTAGTTTGGCAACAGCTGGAGGGCTGCCAGTTTGACACCCAACTAACTGACCCCTACCCTAAACTTGACCCAGCTGTTAAACCTGACCCTAAACCATGATGCCAAAACCTGACCCTTGGAACCCCTTTACACCCATGTATTCCATAGGACCATGTGGCATTTTGTACAATGTCTTGGGGTCACAATCACTGAGAATAACACGCAAGTGCATTGGGTGGCAATGGACCATGCCTTAAAAAAATTGCTGCCGGCCCGTTTTTTTTTTTTTTTCACCCGTTGCTGTGTGTAGCAAGCTCCTTGTAAATGAATGGGCCATCTTACCCAATGGAGGCATATAATACATCATGTTAATATGACCGCTGATATGTAATGCAGTGGGCCAGAAAAAGCGTGAAGATGACCCACTGCATTACATAACTTGACCCAGCTCTTAAACCTGACCCTAAACCATGACGCCAAGACCTGATCCTTGATACCCCTTTACACCCATGTATTCCATGGGAGCATGTGGCCTTTTGTGCAGTGTCTTGGGGTCGCAATTATTGAGAATAACACGCAAGTGCATTGGGTGCCAATGGACCATGCCTTAAAAAAATTGCTGCATGCCTGGTTTTTTTTTTTTTGCCCATTGCTGTGTGTAGCAAGCTCCTTGAAAATGAATGGGCCATCTTACCCAATGGAGGCACATAATACGTCAAGTTAACATGACCCCGAATATGTAATGCAGTGGGCCACAAAAGCGTGAAGGTGACCCACTGCATTACATAACTTGACCCAGCTCTTAAACCTGACCCTAAACCATGATGCCAAAACCTGACCCTTGGAACCCCTCTACACCCATGTATTCCATGGGAGCATGTGGCATTTTGTGCGGTGTCTTGGGGTCGCAATCACTGAGATCAACACACAAGTGGATTGGGTGCCAAGGGACCATGCCTTAAAAAAATTGCCACCTGCCTGTTTTTTTTTTTTCCCCATTGCTGTGGGTAGTCAGCTCCTTGCCAATGAATGGGCCATCTTACCCAATGGAGCCGCATAATACCTCATGTTAACGTGGGCCATGTAATGCAGTGGGCCACAAAAATGTGACGGTGATTCTTAAATTTCAATCCTCCACTTTGCTCTGTGGCACTTTCACTTTACTAACATCTTATGGAAAGGGAGAGGGGTGCACTTTGTCATCTTTCCCATTGGTCCAGGAGGACTTTGTCCCCCATAGGTTGGGTCCACCATGTATCTCCTGCACACGCTAACAAAGCCGGTGCTAACAAGCACTCACATTGCTCATGTAGTTCTGCCAGGATTTGGCGACGGTGGGCAGCTTGTCCTTCTTCCTCCAGTTGGGGGATGACCCTTCCCGTACTGGCTCCTGGAGAAGACATAAAACCAGAGGGAGCAATGCCGCTTATCAGGACCTCAAAACTAAGAGGCTTATAGGCAAGGTTTAGTTTCTTTTGTTTTTTTTGTATTTTGTTTTTTTATTACATTAAAGAGTTCAGCTTTTTGAAAAAGCAAATCTAATCCATGTATGTTCATTAAAAAAAATTCAATGTATAGTGTGACTACTCACTGGCTTCACTTTTCTGCTGCTTTTCACAATACAAGTCTATAAGTTGGCCAACCCACTGAAAACAATGCACTCCCCGTGTGGCTGAAGTTTTATCGCAGCAGCTGTTAAAAAAGGGGGCTGAGTGATGTTCAGTCGAATACAGAGCCCTCTACTGGCCAGTCTACAAATCTCTCTATTTATTACTTTACTGCTACGCTTTAGCTCTCATGCACACTGGGGGGGCGTTTTGATAACGCTGATAACGTTAGCTGTGCAAAGTCACGTTAAAAATTTGACTTTTTTAGCGTTTTTGCATTAGCGTTTAGTGGCGTTTTGCTGCGTTTAGCAGCGTTTTCCCACGTTTCTCTACGTTTGCATTTTTTAGCGTCTTTTTACCCCAAAAAAAAATTTTTTCATCAAAAAAAGTCCAAAAAACACCGTTTTGCAGAGTTTTACCACATTTTACTGCATTTTGCTGCATTTTTTAGTGTTAGAGCGTTTTTACAGGTAAAAAACTCATCTAGAACCCCACTAGTCCTGAGTTTTTTTTCCAGCCAAAAAACGTCCCAGCCAAAAAAACATTGATTACAGTCTCTGTGTGTATGGACACCGAGGATAACATGCTGGGGGGGTTTACTGGCTGTAGAAAAAAAACGTCAAAAGCCAAAAACAGCCGCCGTAAAAACATCCCGTGTGCATCAGGGCTTATTCCTACATCTTCCTTTTATATCTTTGTGTGCGTTCAACAAGCTATTCTCATTTTTTTAATTATTTCATTAAAAACATCAGAGAAAATAAACCAGCCAACATTGTGTGTATAAAGACGAGCGAACGTTGCAACATTTTTTTTTGCCTGTGCCAGATGAGCAAAGATGGAAATCCGAATACACCAATCCACAATTGTCCGGTTTTATTGGAATTATTCACCTTGGATGCGATCATGTATGGCGGGATAATCTCCACCCCCATCTCCTGGAATAATTCACGGCATTGCATGGTAATAAAATCACCGGCCAGGGGCGACTTAACGATCCCTGAAAGACAGACGTAGAGTCACCAGTGACCCAATGGACCACCTAAATTTGTTATGGCAGGACTTCCCAGCACTTTTTTTTGTTGTAGAATCGTTACTTTTCCATTATAGTGATCTAACATATAGGTGACATCATTGGATAAAAATTAATTATTATAAAACAGGATTTATATATTATTATTATTATACAGGATTTATATATTATTATTATACAGGATTTATATATTATTATTATACAGGATTTATATATTATTATTATTATACAGGATTTATATATTATTATTATTATACAGGATTTATATATTATTATTATACAGGATTTATATATTATTATTATTATTATTATACAGGATTTATATATTATTATACAGGATTTATATATTATTATTATTATTATTATTATTATACAGGATTTATATATTATTATTATTATACAGGATTTATATATTATTATACAGGATTTATATATTATTATTATTATACAGGATTTATATATTATTATACAGGATTTATATATATTATTATTATTATTATTATTATTATTATACAGGATTTATATATTATTATTATACAGGATTTATATATTATTATTATTATTATACAGGATTTATATATTATTATTATACAGGCTTTATATATTAATATTTTTATTATTATACAGGCTTTATATATTATTATTTTTATTATTATACAGGATTTATATATTATTATTATACAGGATTTATATATTATTATTATTATAATACAGGATTTATGTATTATTATTATTATACAGGATTTATATATTATTATTATACAGGATTTATGTATTATTATTATTATTATAATACAGGATTTATGTATTATTATACAGGATTTATGTATTATTATACAGGATTTATGTATTATTATTATTATACAGGATTTATATATTATTATTATTATTATACAGGATTTTTATATATTATTATAATACAGGATTTATGTATTATTATTATTATACAGGATTTATATATTATTATTATACAGGATTTATGTATTATTATTATTATTATACAGGATTTATGTATTATTATTATTATACAGGATTTATATATTATTATTATTATTATACAGGATTTATATATTATTATTATACAGGATTTATATATTATTATTATACAGGATTTATGTATTATTATTATACAGGATTTATGTATTATTATTATTATTATACAGGATTTATATATTATTATTATACAGGATTTATATATTATTATTATTATTATTATACAGTATTTATATAGCACCAAAAGGTTTGTTCAGCGCTGTACATTATAGTGGGGGACAGAAGATGAGACAATACAGTAACAAAACAAAACACGAGGGGTTTGAGGGCCCTGCTCTATTATTATTATTATTATACAGGATTTATATGACACCAACAGTTTGCGCAGCACTTTACAATATAAGGGAGGCAGTACAATTACAATACATTTCAGTACAGAAGGAATATGAAGGCCCGGCTCGTGGAGAATGAATGGCATGTAATTGGCTTTTGCAACATTCAAACACCCCCCCCCCCATAGAGTACAGGGGGAAGCGACACTTAGGTTGCGTTCGCATCTATGCGCCGAGAGCTTGCTGTGCCATTAATTCACACCTAGCGTCTTTGAACTGTGCGTTTTTCATGCAATGCACATTCTCCCCTTGCAATCAAAGGGCTGCTCTACACACGACAAGTGATGCAAGGAAGCTCATGGAGCTTTTTGCCGCGCTCCAGTTCGCATATTTTTATGCTGTACGTTCTTGCGTGGAGGGCAAAAGCGCACATCTGCTCGCTGAGTTTGGGGTGCCATTAAAGACTAACTTATTATTCAATTCTATGAATTAACTAAAATTAAATTGTCTTATTATTATTTTTATATTTTATTTTAATATTTAATTTATTTTATTATTTTTGTTTAATTTTTAAAAAAATGTTATTATTTATTTATTTATTTTTATATTAAAGTTTAAATTATATAACTTGTATTTAATGTTTTTCACACGTTTTGGAAACGCCCTTTGACTTCAATGGACTGCCCTAGGCATGGCAAAGTAACCTATGGAGCACATTTGGTTGGCACATTTCTGAGTGTTGCAAAGCATGCATCTTCTTGTCGCGTTTGGGCGCCATTAACGTTTAATAGCACGAACATTTTTAACATATTGCGGGGAGCGCGCACAGAAAGACACGTTTCCATGCCTGGTCCTGGAACTCGCAGATGTGAATGGAGCCAAGGCTGTTCCCACCGAGTGTATTTGAAACGCATTTATTTTGTGTTTTTATTTGTGCGCAACATTCATAGGGTATCCCAATGATTTCAATGGCAAAGTGCTCCTGCAGCTTTTTCCCGTGTTCCAGTTGGTATGTTTTACTGCATTGGTTTCAAATTTTTGTACATAGCTGCTTTCCACATTTTGGGTGCCATTAACAATTCGCCAGTGTCACTCACCCTGCTGTAGGACGTAGCCATCATGGACGGGAAGGGCGGTGGTGTGGGTGGATCCGCTGTCCAGGACCAGGCCTGTGGAACGGCCATTTGCAAATCTGCAGAGAGCAAGGGGTTAAGGGAAAATGTCTGGTCAGAGGATACACTGGGAATGAACACTGCATGACGTCATCCCGTATTACGGGGAAACATACGCGGTGAGGACAGCCGTCTTGCACAAAAAGAAGGCGGGGATGTTATAATGTTCAAACATCAACTCGGTGAGCTTCTCTCTCTTGGCTCTGGCATTCCACTGAAAGATACAAAGATGGAGAAATAAGACCCGCCCCTTGCAGGGTAACAACATGTGTCCCTCCTCCTACAGGGTGACACACAGAGGTAATACTCACAGGTGCCTCTGACATGAGAACGGGGTGTAGGGCCGGGTCAGACTTCAGGTGCTTGTTGAACGTGTGGTCCAGAATGGCTTGGAAGGCCTCCCAATCTTCAACTATTAAAAGACAAGATCCATTGATGATTAAAGAGTGAAAGGTGTAGGGATGGAATATATGATGAAGGGGTCAGTGGGGTCCACGGTGACTGTGGTTAATGGTGAGTGGGGTATACTGGGAGTAGGTACATGGCGAGTGGGATATACTGGGAGTAGGTACATGGGGAGTGGGGTATACTGGGAGTAGGTACACGGGGAGTGGGGTATACTGGGAGTAGGTACATGGTGAGTGGGATATACTGGGAGTAGGTACATGGGGAGTGGGGTATACTGGGAGTAGGTACACGGGGAGTGGGGTATACTGGGAGTAGGTACACGGTGAGTGGGGTATACTGGGAGTAGGTACACGATGAGTGGGGTATACTGGGAGTAGGTACACGATGAGTGGGATATACTGGGAGTAGGTACATGGTGAGTGGGGTATACTGGGAGTAGGTACACGGTGAGTGGGGTATACTGGGAGTAGGTACATGGTGAATGGTGTATACTGGGAGTAGGTATATGGTGAGTGGTGTATACTGGGAGTAGGTATATGGTGAGTGGTGTATACTGGGAGTAGGTATATGGTGAGTGGTGTATACTGGGAGTAATTATATGGTGAGTGGGGTATACTGGGAGTAGGTACACGGTGAGTGGGGTATACTGGGAGTAGGTACACGGTGAGTGGGGTATACTGGGAGTAGGTACACGGTGAGTGGGTTATACTGGGAGTAGGTACACGGTGAGTGGGGTATACTGGGAGTAGGTACACGGTGAGTGGGGTATACTGGGAGTAGGTACACGGTGAGTGGGGTATACTGGGAGTAGGTACACGGTGAGTGGGGTATACTGGGAGTAGGTACACGGTGAGTGGGATATACTGGGAGTAGGTGCATGGTGAGTGGGGTATACTGGGAGTAGGTACACGGTGAGTGGGATATACTGGGAGTAGGTGCATGGTGAGTGGGGTATACTGGGAGTAGGTACACGGTGAGTGGGGTATACTGGGAGTAGGTACACGGTGAGTGGGGTATACTGGGAGTAGGTACATGGTGAGTGGGGTATACTGGGAGTAGGTACACGGTGAGTGGGGTATACTGGGAGTAGGTACACGGTGAGTGGGATATACTGGGAGTAGGTGCATGGGGAGTGGGATATACCGGGAGTAGGTACACGGTGAGTGGGGTATACCGGGAGTAGGTACACGGTGAGTGGTGTATACTGGGAGTAGGTACACGGTGAGTGGGGTATACCGGGAGTAGGTACACGGTGAGTGGGGTATACTGGGAGTAGGTATATGGTGAGTGGGGTATACTGGGAGTAGGTATATGGTGAGTGGGGTATACTGGGAGTATGTACACGGTGAGTGGGATATACTGGGAGTAGGTACACGGTGAGTGGGGTATACTGGGAGTAGGTACACGGTGAGTGGGGTATACCGGGAGTAGGTACACGGTGAGTGGGGTATACCGGGAGTAGGTACACGGTGAGTGGGGTATACTGGGAGTAGGTACACGGTGAGTGGGGTATACCGGGAGTAGGTACACGGTGAGTGGGGTATACCGGGAGTAGGTACACGGTGAGTGGGGTATACCGGGAGTAGGTACATGGAAGTGGCGTATAAGAATTGAGCTCTGTCATTTCAAAGCCATTGTTTCTCATTTCTAGGGACTCTTTAATGACTGGCATAGTACCACTGGATTGGCGTAAGGCCAATGTGGGGCCAATATTTAAAAAGGGGTCAAAATCTTTCCCAAGTAATTATAGACCTGTTAGTGTAACTTCTATAGTTGGGAAGATACTGGAGAGTTTAATAAAAGACACAGAGAGGAGTTCTTGCTGGAAACAAATATTTTAAGCCACAGACAGCATGGAGTCATGAAAGACAGAAGTGGTCACACAAATCTGATTTCTTTTTATGAGGAGGGGAGCAAAACATTGGACAGGGGGTGGCTGTGGATGTGGTATAATTGGACAGAGGGGTGGCTGTGGACGTGGTATACTTGGATTTTGCTAAAGTGTTTGACACAGTTCCCCACACACGGCTAATGTGTAAGGTAGTGTACAGGCTGGAAAAATCTGTATATACAGTGGGGCAAAAAAGTATGTAGTCCCCACCGATTGTACAAGTTCTCCCACTTACAAAGATGAGAGAGGCCTGTAATGGTCATCATAGGGAGACCTCAACTATGAGAGACAAAATGAGAAAACAAATCCAGACAATCACATTGGCTGATCTGGAAAGAATTTATTTGCAAATTATGGTGGAAAATAAGTATTTGGTGAATATGAAAAGTTCATGTCAATACTTTGTTATATATCCTTTGTTGGCAATGACAGAGGTCAGACGTTTCCTGGAAGTCTTCACAAGGTTGGCACACACTGTTGCTGGTATGTTGGCCCATCCTCCATGCAGATCTCCTCTAGAGCAGTGATATTTTGGGGCTGTCGCTGGGCAACACGGACTTTCAACTCCCTCTAAAGGTTTTCTATGGGGCTGAGATCTGGAGACTGGCTAGGCCACTCCAGGACCTTGAAATGCTTCTTACGAAGCCACTTCTTCGTTGCCCGGGCGGTATATTTGGGATCATTGTCATGTTGGAAGACCCAGCCACGTTTCATCTTCAATGCCCTTGCTGATGGAAGGAGGTTTGCACTCACAATCTCACGATATATGGCCCCATTCATTCTGTCCTGTACATGGATCAGTCGTCCTGGTCCCTTTGCGGAGAAACAGCCCCAAAGCATGATGTTGCCACCCCCATGCTTCACAGTAGGTATGGTGTTCTTTGGATGCAACTCAGCATTCTCTCTCCTCCAAACACGACGAGTTGTGTTTCTACCAAACAGTTCTATTTGGGTTTCATCTGACCATATGACATTCTCCCAATCCTCTTCTGGATCATCCAAATGCTCTCTAGCAAACTTCAGACGGGCCCCGGACATGTACTGGCTTAAGCAGGGGGACACGTCTGGCACTGCAGGATCTGAGTCCCTGGCGGCGTAGTGTGTTACTGTTGGTAGCCTTTGTTACGTTGGTCCCAGCTCTCTGCAGGTCATTCACTAGGTCCCCCCGTGTGGTCCTGGGATTTTTGCTCACCGTTCTTGTGATCATTTTGACCCCACAGGGTGAGATCTTGCGTGGAGCCCCAGATCGAGGGAGATTATCAATGGTCTTGTATGTCTTCCATTTTCTAATTATTGCTCCCACAGTTGATTTGTTCACACCAAGCTGCTTGCCTATTGCAGATTCAGTCTTCCCAGCCTGGTGCAGGTCTACAATTTTGTTTCTGGTGTCCTTCGACAGCTCTTTGGTCTTCACCATAGTGGAGTTTGGAGTGTGACTGTTTGAGGTTGTGGACAGGTGTCTTTTATACTGATAACAAGTTCAAACAGGTGCCATTGATACAGGTAATGAGTGCAGGACAGAGGAGCCTCTTAAAGAAGAAGGTCCAGGTCTGTGAGAGCCAGAAATCTTGCTTGTTTGTAGGTGACCAAATACTTATTTTCCACCATAATTTGCAAATAAATTCTTTCCAGATCAGCCAATGTGATTGTCTGGATTTGTTTTCTCATTTTGTCTCTCATAGTTGAGGTCTCCCTATGATGCCAATTACAGGCCTCTCTCATCTTTGTAAGTGGGAGAACTTGCACAATTGGTGGCGACTAAATACGTTTTTGCCCCACTGTAAATGGATAGAAAACTGGCTACAAGATGGTATGCAGAGAGTAGTGGTTAATGATTCATACTCTGAATGGTCTGGGGGTGTCAGTGGGGTACCCCAGGGTTCAGTGTTAGGACCCTTACTTTTTAACCTCTTCATGCACAGTACACAAATATGCAACCTCTCTGTGGCTGGGCCCTGGTGCCGAGCGGTCACATATTTGCGTCCCATTTGTAAACAAACGTGCTGACAGCGCACGCCCTGCGCACTCCCAGCACATGTGTCAGCGTCCCATGGAAAGGTCCTGATCTCTCCATGCAATTGGGACCTTTCCAATCGTGACTGCTGTGACAGCCAAAAACCACATGGAGTCCCCCCCCCCATCCATACCAAGGCCTTCGGGTCTGGTATGGATTTTGTGAGGGGAACCCCCACGCCAAAACTGATGAGGCCACATGCCCTCAATATGGAGGCAGGGGGGTGATTTGGGGACTAGGGGGCTCCCCCCTCCAAAAGCACCTTGTCCCCATGCTGTTGGGTACAAAGGCTTCTTCCCCATAAACCTGGACTGTGGTTGTGGGGGTCTGCGGGTGGGGGCTTATCGGAATCTGGAAGCCCCCTTTAACAACGGGGTCACCATATCCCAGCCCCCTCCCCCATGTGAGTGAGTAGGGGGTACATGGTACTGCTATCCATTCACTAAAAAAGGTGCAGTGTAGAAACGACAGGAGACGGTCTCCGACAAGTCCTTTAGTAAACATAAAAATTGAAAAAAGTCCCCCAAAGTAGATCCAACGTCAATCACGATGCCCGCTCCTCTCGCAACGCTGGATCCCGCCCCCTGACAGCTGTGCAGCGATGACAGTTCTTAAATACTGTCATGACGTCACAAGAGGGCGGAGTTCACTCCGCCACCCTTGTGACGTCACCCTGTGCTGTAATGGGCCAAAGCATTGCACCTGACCTGTGGTCACCTGTGGTCAGGTGCATTGCTTTGACCAATTAGAATGCACTGTCAGGGTGCAGTGCATTGTGGGGCGCAGCTGGCGAGCAGCCTGCCGAACGCACGTATCGTTGACGTGTTCAGAAAACATACGAACGACCAATGTTCGAGTCAAACTTTACGTCTGGAGGAAAAGAAATGTAATCTCCAAACACAGAAAGGTTTCTTCACAGTAAGAGCTGTGAGAATGTGGAATAGACTCCCTCAGGAGTTGGTTGTGGCCAGCTCAGTGGATTGCTGTAGGAAAGTCCTGGATTCTTTCTTGGATACACAGAATATAACTGGATATAACATTTATAGGTAAGGTAGATCCAGGGAATATCCGATTGCCTCTCGGGGGGTAAGGAAGGAATTTTT